GTCAGTGAAGCATGCAACTCTTGATATCAGGATGGTGAGTTCAAGCCCTGCATTGGGCATTGAGCCTACTTAAAAAAATAAAATAAAATAAATTAGTCTTCTGTTTAGTTCCCAACCAAATTTACTATTGTCAAGATTTTTATATTTCATTCCATTCACAAGCTGTCTAAATAGAAACAAAGATTTTATTAACATTGTGAATCAGGAGAAGAAAATGTATAAAATTTTCTTTTCTATTTCCCCCTTCATTTGAGATTAGTAGTGTATCTAGCAGCAATTGATGCAGTTATAGTCTCTGTCCTTACTTTTATGTTTTTATTTTTATTTTTTTTAAGATTTTACGTATTTATTTGACAGAGAGAGATAGCATGAGCAGTGGGGAGGATCAACGGGAGAGGGAGAAGCAGGCTCCCCACTTAGCAGGGAACCCCATGCGGGACTCAATCCCAGGACCCCAGGATCATGACCTGAGCTGAAGGCAGATGCTTAACTGACTGAGCCACCCAGACACCCTCTCTGTCCTTACTTTTAAAAATTGAAAAAGGAAACATTCATGTTTACATATTTGGAGAGGAATACTTAATATTTTTGCACAGTAGAAGTAATGGATGGATGAATGAATGGATTCATTTCTCCTTTATTCAAGAAATTTCTTAGCAATTGGCGGAGCATCTCTCCTGACCTTATCCTGAAATGTGTACACAATCTGGTCCTGGTTGCTTGTGCAGGATAAATATGGAAATGTTGCAATTCATATGCCATAAGTCCAGGTTAAGCATTCTGCTCCCATGCTGTGCCCTGAAGCTAGCCAAGCTTGCAATGACAGGAAATGGGAATCAGTCATTAACCAGAGGACTCTAGAGAGCTTGGACAGTGTGCAGGATAGAGTTCAGGGGCCAGGTGGGGGCACCATGAAGGAGATGGGTGATGACTGTGCCTTGCATATAGAAAATGCTCAAGGAGAACATACTCTCTGAATTGATTGGCTGAGAAGTCACTGGGCAAGCAGAGAGAGGAGAAAGATGAACCTTCTGGAGCCCAGAACCAACTTAAAGGATCAGGAAAGTGTACAGAGAAGCATCTTCTCTTCCCTCAAGCATCAGCTCGCTCCTCTGTCCTCTGAAAGTGCCTTCCAAGTAGACTCCTGGCCATCCTCCTGCCTCCTTAGATGAACCCTCAGACAGCTCCAGTGAAACCTCAATGTCCTCCAAAGCAGACAAACAGAGGGATGGGATTGTGGCAACTCTCTCCTTAGTTATTAATATATATATAGAAACACTGGCATGGGAGACAAGGAGCTAGAAACATCCAAATCTGTGGCCTAAGAAGCTAAGTCAATTCCACACATATATGCAAAATCATCAGTAACATCATGCACACTGATGACATGATTTTCTTTTTTTTAAAAGATTTATTTATTTATTTGAGAGAGAGAGAAAAAGTGTGGGGGGGGAGGGGCAGAGGGAGAGGTAGAGAGACTCCCTCTGAGCAAGGAACCTGACCCCACGACCCCAAGATCATGACCTGAGCTGAAATCAAGAGTCAGATGCTCAACTGACTGAGCCACCCTGGCGCCCATGTGATTTTCACATCTGTGGTGCTATTACTATCATCAAGGGCTTTCCTAAGGCATTTTGTTAAATCAGCATTGGATCTGACCACATTATCTCTGTGCTCAAATAAATGTCTGAGATGGAGACACTTACAGTTTTTGAAGGCATGGATCAAAGTCATGCTTCTTATTCATCTGATAGCAGGTAAGTACAACCAAAGAGCATTCTTGGTGGGCTGGCCCTTGTCCATTGTGTATTTCACCATGTAGCACAAAGGGAAACAGGTCCAAACACAGCAGTGCTGTCAAATGGACACTGGAATATCACAAGTCATTTCCCTTGTGCCCCTGTTTTCCCAAGTCTCAAAGAATCTAATTTCTTCTTCCTTTGCTCCTCTCAAATGACACTCTCCCAGGACCACATTTAAACTTCTGAAGGGACCTAAAGACAGCCAGTTATTTCAGGGGCTCAAGGTCAGCCTTTCCCTAGGTCACCATACAGGGATCAGGGATCCTGCCACTCCTCATTCAATGGCCCTATCCACATTTTTAGTTAAAAAACTGCTTCCCCACCTTTTCAAATTTTTAACTTATATAGAATTTGTTTGAGCAGAACTCATTTTTCCTATTGGACTCCATGCGCTCCCAGGGGCCTCTGATTCCTGCTAAATATAAAATTCTCCTTCCACCATCATCTCACTGATGAAAGGAAATTCTAGAAATGCTCCTGGCTTTCTGAACCCAGAGAGCAGACATCAGGCATTAAATTTCCCATGAAGAAGCAAGACATCCATGGCTATCATCTGCCTGATGATCGTTAGCTCTTTCCTTCCCCTTGCCTCTCTTGCTGATCTGTCCTCTGTGCATCTGGCAAAGTCAGCTCCCTGTCACCTCTAGGCAAGGTCCACAGCAGCTCTGCGGGGTGCCTGCCACCTCGGGGTCGCCCCACCTGCGGGGAAGGCAGCAGCATATGCTGGGAGGTAGCTCAGGGTGTGGCAGTGGGTGAGCACTCCTGAGGGCAAAGCCTGGCTCTGCCAATAAACAATGTTGTGGGGTTTGCTGAATCACTTCTTTTCCTTGTGGCTTGGTTTCTCCATCTGTAAAACTGAGAGAACAAGCATATCCAGGACCCATTATTCCCTTTGATAAGCCTCATTTGCTACCTCCACCATAAAGCCTTGCCAGACTTAATTACTTCCCTCTGCATGTTTTCTTCTTTTTTTAAGTTTGCAAATCAGAATACCTATTCATAATTTTCCAGTGAGAAATGGACTACCAAGCACATTCTTTGCCTGGAAGCAGATTTATATAGGAAGCTAAATTACCATCGGAAAGTTCGTTGGTGGGCACGGACTCAGAGGTGCTGGTATCATGAATCAATGATACATTGCTTCATACCTTCATCTCCATTAGTAATAGCTGATCTTTATTCAGGTCTTGCTGGATGCCGAGCAATAGGATTCTCAATATCTGTGTGTATTAAAATGTAATCCTCAGGGTCGCCTTGGTGGTGCAGTGGGCTAAGCGTCTGACTCTTGGTTTTGACTCAGGTTGGGATCTCAGGATTATGAGATAGAGCCCCACATGGGGCTCTGCGCTCAGGGGAGAGGCTGCTTGAGACTTTCTCTCCCTCTGCCCCAAACCCTGGTGTACACACACACACTCTCTCTCTCAAAAATAAATAAATAAATCTTTTTAAAAATGTAATCTTCACAACAACCCTATGAGTCAGACACCATTATTATCACCATTTTATAAGGAAACAGAAGCACAGAGAGTAGGTAACCTATCCGAGGATACAAGTTGGCAATGTTGGGGTCTGGGGCCACAGCCCCAGCTCTCAGCCCCTGGCTTGTGCTTTCTCACAGAAGTAATTGGGCAAGCGCTCGCCACTGCTGTTCACTGCACCTTGCATGATGTACTCGGCCCCAGACTAACTCAACTGTTTTTATTTTGCTGCTTGATATTTGCACATTTTTTCCCACACTCGCAGCCCTCGGCTTAGGAGGAGCAGGGAAGGAACTAGGGGTTGCTGATCCTCTCTTTTCCTTTAATGCCATATGTCATCACTTTCAGTGGAAGTGCCAACAACAGGAAGTGACAAGAATAGAAAATAATAGGATAGAGGTCATTCGTGCTTCTTTGAACACTATACCAGGCGAGTCCTGGTCACTGCAGCTCCTGATTCGAAAGGAAAGCCTCTCAGTGCTGTCAGAGCCCATACTTACTCAGCCATAGATCTGGGCCTCTCAAAATGCGCAGGACCACTCACCTGCTCCCAGCAGTTCCTGAATTTACAAATTCTTTAAAGGGTGGGAATCTGCTCTGTAATTTACTTTGAAAAGTTCCAGGCATCTAGGAGGTATTAATTGCTGGTGCTTTTGATCTTGATTTCTCTACACTTCATTAACTGAGATTAAAATGAGTTTCTCTTTGAAAAGCTATAAGATAACCATACTTCTCGTCCATCTTCTTGCCCTGGAAATATATGTAGAAGTAGTATAAAGGAACACCTCAGCCTCCATAATTTTCAGTGAATAAAGCAAAAATGAAATCCAGAATATTCTCCTTGATAGAATGTTGTCTAAGATTCTAGAATCTTGCTGCATAAATAGATAGAAGGGCATCATCCCTGAAGAGGGATTTGAACAGACGGATAATTCTTCTAAGTTTTAAGTAACAAGTCCCTGGAAGAGAAAGGCAACTTTTATGATTACATAAAATCCTGATATGTGTGGAATGTTCTCAATGTGTGGAATATTCAAGGTGCCAGACAACGACAAAGATACGACTCTTGTCTTCTCTAAGAATAAAGACCAGGGGGCGCCTGGGTGGCTCAGTCGTTAAGTGCCTGCCTGCAGCTCAGATCATGATCCCAGGGTCCTGGGATCGAGTCCTGCATCGGGCTCCCTGCTCCGCGGGAAGCCTGCTTCTCCCTCTCCACTCCTCCTGCTTGTGTTCCCTCTCTCGCTGTCTCTCTCTCTGTCAAATAAATAAATAAAATCTTTAAAAAAAAAAAAAGAATAAAGACCAGAAGGACAGCCATAGTAATGGCAGCAGCTCTCATAGTCCTCCAGCTCTGAAAGTTCCTAGCTATCTTCCTTCTTGACCCCCACTTGCTCCAGTGGTGAGTTATAGTAGTTAGAAAATAGGCAGAGATACACCACCTACCCATTGTGTGTGTGGATTTCTGTATTACCCTGTGGCTCTGTACTTGAGAAGGTTATACTCTACAGAAGACAGCTGAGAATACATCTACAGAGTTGACGAGAACCCTGGCCCAGATAACAATCTTCTCTGTAGCAGTTTTTGAAACATGGCCTTCAGCCTAGGCAACACTTTTCTGGAGAACTTACAATGGCACTTTATTTATTTATTTATTTATTTATTTATTTATTTATTTATTTATTCATAAAGATTTTATTTATTTATTTGACAGAGAGCAAGAGAGCACAAACAGGGGGAACAGTAGAGGGAGAGGGAAAAGCAGGCTTCCCGCTGAGCAGGGAGCACGATGTGGGGCTGGATCCCAGGACCTTGGGATCATGACCTGAGCCAAAGGCAGACGCTTAACCATCTGAGCCACCCAGGCACCCTGCAATGGTACTTTTAAAGGCAGCCCGTTCCATTCTATTTAGCTTCTCTCTTTAGGGATAGAAACAATTAAATCCTTCAAATAGTGTATTTCATTCCTTTGAAATAGTGAATAGACAATGAATTTTTATTTTCTTTATCTCTTTTTATGCTTCCATGATTATTTAGTTTTTCATTACTTGATAAATTTCCAAACTCCTTGATGATATTTGAGAAGCACCCTACAGAGAAAACAGAAATAAGTAAACATACTAAGTTGCATGGCAGAGAGGAATGGGGAATTCATGAACTCACTGAATGCTGTATCCTAGATGAAAAAATGGCATTCTGTTGGTGCAAAAAATAAGATCCTCGCATCACTGTAGAACAAAAGCAATTTGTGGAGCTATAAGACTGTCTATTCAGCACCAACTCCAAAGTAGGCTTTGATCTGGACAGCTATTAAGAAGGTTTAGTGGCTCAGGGACTTACAGTCTTTAAATATATAATGATTTTCTAATATTTACACGGTCTTTTTCAAGGGCAAACAAGACCCATTAAAGCATGAAGACTGTGTTTCACAGATTCATATATTTGTAAAATAGAGAATGGTTGCTCTATTCCATTTCAGCTTGATTCCTTGCCTTATGCTGATTCCAGGACCCCGGGATCACGACCTGAGCCGAAGGCAGACGCTTAACAGACTTAGCCACCCAGGCACCCTCTTTAACAGTCTTCTTTCCAGTTATATGTAAAAGAGTTTAACAAAATGAAAAGAGTTCATGTCTTCCCAGTGTCGGTGGACATAAAAAGGGATCAGTCTGATCCAATTTGGAGACATTCTTACCTTGAGGAATGTACATGAGTCATGGGGTGACCTTATATATAGCCTGAGCTGCCTGTTCAGGTCCAGCTCATGACTATTGTCTCATGTCATTATTTTTTTTTTTAAGATTTTATTTATTTATTTGAGAGAGAGAATGAGATAGAGAGAGAGCATGAGAGGGGGGAGGGTCAGAGGGAGAAGCAGACTCCCTGCTGAGCAGGGAGCCCAATGCGGGACTCGATCCCGGGACTCCAGGATCATGACCTGAGCCGAAGGCAGTCGCTTAACCAACTGAGCCACCCAGGCGCCCTGTCTCATGTCATTATTAATAGTGCCCCTTCATTCTCAAATATTCTATGGTCTGATTATGAACACCCTAATCATGGACGGGAGGACTGCTTCAGAATAACAACCAGTGGGTCCCTGTCCTGGGGGTGCCTAACTAGGGGCTGACAAAAGAACAGGATGGCAATGCTCTCCAGGGCCTCTTTCTGCTTTCAAATTCTCAGATCCTGTGGGGAGTATTGAAAGAGACAAATGTGAAATGGACTTATTCTAAGTAATAATACTGAGGGCCACTTGAAAAATATGATTAACATTCAGGGCTCCTGGGTGGCCCAGTTGGTTGAACGTCCGAATCTTGGTTGCGTTACAGGTCATGATCTCAGTCAGGGTCATGAGATGGGGCCCCGAGTCAGGCTCCACACTCAGCGGGGAGTCTGCTTGGGATTCTCTCTCTCCCTTTCCCTCTGCCCCTCCCCACCACTTGTGTGCACGTGTTCTCTCTCTCTCTCTAAAATAAAGGAAACCTTAAAAAAAACATGATTAACTCTCAATAATCTGCCCCAATAGGTTAATCAGGAATATGCATAACTAACATTTGTCATATTTATTCCATCGTATTAACCTCCTTAATTATACTGTTCTATTAAAATTGGTTTATATCGCCTGGTACATTTTGTCTGAGAATGAAGAGAGGTGGCCTACAATTTGCTACAGATAATTCCACATTGATAATTAAAATAGCACATGCAAATTCACCTCAACCCCCAGATTTGTGAAGCTGGGACATACATTAAAGCTTATTAGGTTCAACTCCCTAATTTTATAGATGAGGCCTCTAAGGTCCAGAAAGACTGAGCTATTTTGTCCAAGGTAACTGAACAAATCATCATGATCACAGATCATGTGACACAGAACCCACATTGTTCTATCACCTCACCGGTGAAATTTGCTTGACAGTAATTTTACATAGAAATAGTAATCAAAATGTATTTATATGCACGCTCTTTTGTAGTGTCATATTTCCTGAATTAATCAGGAAACTTATTTAATAAGTACTATGTGCTATGGAAGCTTCTATAAATCCATTGTTCTATTTTTGCTTTCCTTGTAAACCTGCTCTTATTTTATAGGGAAAGAAGAGCTCTGTAGTTGGGAAAGCAGATCAGAGAGATGAAGTGGCTACTGGCATCTTCTATTTCACATCCTATTTCTGTTTTGAAAGGTAGTAACTGTGTAGATAGAGATATAAATAACAGTTACAATAAAAGCAAACGTACACATGCTATACATTTCAGAAGCTGCATAGTGAAATCTGTAATGTTCTAAATTAAGGGGGTGGCAACATAACACATTAATTTCCCTGAATTTTTCAGAGTATACATGCTGCCGACTAGGAAAGGTAGAGAATTTTTATTAGTTTTCTCTATTTAACAATGTATTTTCCATGTGCATCAAGCTTAGGATCCCAAAATAATTTTTAAAAAATAATTTTAAAAATTTTAGCAGTTATGTTGTCAGAAGAAGGGAGCCCAAATTTCTGTGAATTTATTGAACATGTCAAAAGCTTTTATAAGGGAATACTGCTCCGTTTAATGAAAGGAAGTCTCTTAGAATCACCAACACATCCAGACTCATTTTCTCTGTGCTGGGGAAGGGATGCCATCACAACACTCACCACTAGGGGGCATCCTCCAACACATCTTAGCTGTTTCCCTATAGGAGCAGTGGATCTCAACCATGTCAGCGCAAAGCACCCCCCTTTTCTTACAACCGCCCTTCCGACCTGAAATGAGAATCATTATGTGTGTATCACTCATTATATATGTATCATACATATCTTTAAAACTCAATATAATGCTCTAATGATAATATAAAAGAGAAATAGTAAGAAAGCAATTTATAACAAAGTAATATGCATTTCCACATATAAAGCTTAGGTACAAATATACTAGAAAATACATATAAAGAAGTAGTCAGATTCTATACATAGAGGCAATTGCTAAAATGCAGACAGATAGGGGTCTGTTATAGCAATAACTCAAACACGTTGAGTGGCGTTGCCATCGATGACAAAATGACTAAAGATGAAGAAGTCATTGTAAATCTCCAAATAAAATTAAGTCAGTCTTGATTTCTATTGCAGCTGCATTCCTTTAAAAAAAAAAATCCAGTATGGGGCGCTGGGTGGCTCAGTCAGTTAAGCGTCCAACTTTTGATTTCGGCTCATGTCATGATCTCAGGGTCCTGGGATCAAGCCCTGCATTGGGCTCCACGCTGGGAGTGGAGTCTGCTTGAGATTTTCTCTCCCTCTCCTGCCCGCCTCCCCACCCCTGCTTTCTCTCTCTCTCCCCCAAAAAAAAAAAAAAAAAAAAAAATCTAGTATATACGAGAACAACCCTAAAAATTCTGCTTTATACGTGAAAGCATAGTGTTTATGTGTAAAATACTGCTATAGACCAATGTTTGTGTCCCTCTCACCCCCAAATTCATGTGACATCCTAACACCCAATGTGATGGTCTCAGGAGGTGGGGCATTTGGGAAGTGATGATTAGCTCAGCATGGTGGAGGTTTCATGGGCGGAATTAGTGCCATTATAAAGGAGACCTCAGAGGGATCTGCCATGTGAGAACACCAGACACATGTCCCCATGGGAGGACATAAGAAGATGGTAGTCTGCAGTCAGAGAGAGAGCTCTCACCTGAACTTGACCACACGGGTACCCCGGACTCAGACTTCCAGCCTCCAGAATTGTGAGAAATAAATTTCTGTTGTTTATAAGCCACCCAAACCATGGTATTCAGCTATCGCTGCCCAAACAGACTAAGACAGTTACATTCTAGACTCAGATAATGACAGTGCTTTGTTTGGTTTGGTTTTTAACCTATGTGAATGTTTCAGAAGGGCATTTGGAAGTTGGACAGCATGCGGAGCAGCTCTTCTCTGAGCATATTGTGACACCTAGCATCCCTGACCCCTCTCCTAAATTCCACAAGTGCCCCAACAACCCAACTGTCATGACAACAAAAAATACGCCAGCAAACTTCCAAAATGCCCCTAGAGGTGCTTCCACCCTCATTGAGAACCACAGGTCAAGAGCAAAAGGGCCTCCTTTCTACCCTCAGGTATATCTTCCTTTAGCTTTCAGATGAGAGGAAGATTCTCCCCTTTCCCTGCAAGACTGGCCCCAGGAGAACCCTTTGGTGGGATGTTGTCTCCAGTTCCGACTTAGAGTACATCTCTATCTCGGTCTCTACAGGTCAATCATCCAGAATTTCACACACAGCATCAGAAGGAGTTTCAAAAAGAAACAGGAGGAAATGTGAAGGAAGAGCATATGACACCTGGAGCTGTGTTAGAAATACCAACACAGGGTTTCTCAGGGTGTGGTCAGACAGTTACCTGCATTGAATGTATTTATTAAAAATACAGATTCCAGGGTTCCACCCCACACCTTTGGAATGAGATCTCTGGGGCATATGGCCCCATAGAATCTGCATTTTTAGTAGCTCACAGGTGCGATGAATGTGCTCCTGTTGTAAGAGCCCCTCAAGTCATCATCATTATCTCCACTACGCACAGCTGCCAATCTGGCCATGAGAAGGGGTCAGTGGGTCCTTGTAGGACTAGCCTGCTTCAGGTCCCACATGAAATTTGGGCAGTAACCCTGCAAGAGAAGCTGGAAGGCACCCCACATACCTCCAGGGTTGGATGCATCTGCTTCAACTTCAGGAGGGTCCCCTGACTTCAGGTTTCCTTTTTTAACCCCAATTTTCCTGAAACATACACACAGCACCCACTCTGTTAAAAATCTTCTCTTCCTACTCTTTTCAAAGAGGGTTACTTCTGATGATTTAAGCGAGGAATAATTTCATATTATAAATGCACTTTTGAGTTAAAATAAGCGGAAAAAAACTAGAAAAGAATGTCCGTAGGTTTGGACAAGTTTTGAGAGTGCAGAAATTCTGTATATAATTCTGTCTGTGCGTATGGCGCAGTAAGGGAAGTGTAGTCCCATGTCATATATATTTTTTTCTACTATGTGTCAAACAAGGTAAAAAAAAATCTGTTTCTCTTTATATAACTGTATAGACACAGACTAAGTTTTCTAACTTTTGCTCCAAGTTGGGTGTGCTCACATTTCAAAGAGTATTGATTATTCCACTGGTATTAAATAGATGATGGTGATGATAGTGATAATTATACCTTACCTAAGGACACAGAGTATGCTAACTAGTGCCTTAGGCAGGATTTGGACCCAGATTACGTGGTGTGGAAGCCTCAGCTCTTGTCACTATACCACACTGGATACAGCCATACCGAATTACCTATTATACCAATGCTGCTGCATGCAGTTCCCTAGGCCCGTACTTAGGCCTCTGCAAAAGAATGAGAAAATCGGAAACTTCGTATGTAGTGCAAGCGTTTATAACACAGGGTTTACAATGCAATGAATTGGTTATAGAGTGGGAGGTATTGAGAGCCAAACAGGGGACAGTGAAGTAATCCAGAGATCTGCAACCACAAGAAGCCACTAGGACCCTTGACCAAGAGGCAACAGGAGGAGGGGAAGTTACCAGAGGCTTCAGGTCGTCCAGTGAAAGCAGGAACCCCAATAAGCCAGTCCACAAAGGAAACTGGGCCACTCTGAAGAAGTCACTTGAGGCAGACAGAGAAGGTAATAAATAAACCTGGTTTCTCCCTTGCTGTTAAGACTTCAATCTCTACCTGCCAAACCCAATCAGCAAACCTAGGAACCTGGAAAACCAACCCTCATCAGTTGCTCCCCCCTCTGTGCAGAGCAGTCAGGCAAGGACTGGGTCTGAGAGCAGACAGATCCAAAGAGGCACACCCACATGGGATTTTGTTGTTGTTTTCCAGAAGAAAGCACCTTAAGCCTCCTTTAAATAGTAACTCCCAACACCTTTAGACTAACTTAATGGGGCAACAAAATTAAAAAAAAAAAATCACATGTGACTTTAAAAACATCTATCATGCAAGCAGATATATTTTTATACCTGTGACTCACTGAATATTAGAAAAAGAAAGCATTATCGAACGCCTCCTTGCCAAGGACCAGCAGAAACAATTGCCAGAGTATGATTTTTGCTTGACTTTTTACCTGAGGGAAAGGGAAGCTGGCTACAAATAGTATGGTCATCTGGCTAGTACTTTTGGAAGGCTAATTTACCGGAACATTTTCAGGTGGCCTTGTGCGTGATTATATATAGTATGAGCAGCTGGCCAGCTTGTGCTAGAAGTCCCGGACATAATTCTTCAGAAATGTAGGGTACTGGAGACTTCTGGGTAATGGAGGAAGTTCTATATGAAGGTCCTGGCCCCTGAGTTACAGTGGGTTGTGCTCCAGGACTGACCCGGCTGCCACTTTCTGATTAACTGACTCCAACTGAGAGTTGGAGCGCCCTCTAGGGGAGAGCTCGGCACCCCCCTCTCCACCCCCCACCGTGGCTGGGCACTAACCCCCCACCCCTTCCCTTCTGCAGTGTTGTTACTTACCAGTGTCCTTTTTCTTCAAATACTCCATGAAATACAGCTGTGGTCTTACTAGATATTGCATCAAAGGAGATTCAGTACAGATTATATTCTGAGTGTGCTGTTACACAGAGGATTGCAGATAAATGACTCACAGAAAACATGAACAGCAGCAGAGAGGACGGGGTCCCAGTGCCCTCAGAGCTCAGCCACAGAAGATGGCCCAGTATCACTGCCAGCATCTAAGGAGAAGCAGACAGGATGTCTTTTGGGAGTATGATTCTCCTGATTTACATTTTTTAAAAAATCACTTTATCCTGTATTTTTTGAAGGAGGTGGCTCAGTAGGGTAATTTGTGGTTAAGATCATAGACCTTGGAGCCTCTTCTTCCTTGTATCTTTCCAAGTCTGTCCGCTTTTCTCCACCCCTATTGCCATAAACGCCTGGTCTGTGCTTGTTGCTACCACTGACTGCTTCCCCTCATGGGTCTTCCTCTCCTCACTGCTGCAGCCACTGGGATCCTTCTAGGCAAATAAGATCAGCCATGCTCACCATCCTCCAAAGGCTCCCCCATCCCTTAGGATAATAGCCACAGGATATTTGGTTGCACACGCCCCCATCTCTCACCTACAACCCCTGCTCTGTAAATCCTGGGCACCCAACTACATCTCAGGAAAACGCCAATCTTCCCAGGTGGGGGGCAAATGCCCACCCTAGCAACTCGTAATTATTGCCTGTCCCTTTGCCTCCTGGCAAAGCCAAGTCTAGAGGACAGGCTGGGCCTTCGTCCTTTGAGTATTACCCAACATCCAACGTCTGGGACAAAACCTGCACTCAAGGATATTTGAAAAGTACTTTACAGTTTGCACAGTGTTCCTCACATCCGCCCATTTAATCCTCCCAACACTCACCTAGCAGTATTTTCTAATTATACAGGCAGGAGAACTGAGGCTTGAAAAGGTCAGTGGCCCACGTTAGACTCTCAAGTGGCAGAACGGTTACTCACAGCCGTGGTTCTCTGAGGGGACAGCACATAGGGCTGAAAATTCTACAGACTTGGTGTGAATCCCCACCCAGCCATGGCCTGGCTAAAGCACCGACTTCACCTCCCTGCGCCTGTGTCCTCATCCTTAAAAAAGACAGTAATTCCAATTCGGGCTTATTATGAGGATTGAATAAAACAATGCCTATGGAATGTCTACAGTGCCTAGCTCCCAGTCGGAACTATAAATGTGAGTTCCCTTTCTGACCCCAAGCTTGGTGAGCGGCTTCTATTTCTCCAGCAGCTCCTCGGTCTCTGAGCTCCGGAGGCCACTGGGGGTGCCAACTGTGGAGCACCGGGCCCGTTTTGACGTGATAGCTGCCAGCGGGTACCAGCTAGTCCTTAAAGAAGTGTGGGGACTACGGGCACAGCCGTGAGAAGACATTGGAGAGGGAACTAAGGGGCCCTAGGAGGCAGGGGTTGAATGGGGGGGCCTGTGGGGAGCGTTGGCCGACATCAGCGGGAGAGCTGGCACCCCACTGCACGCACCACAGAGGGGTCCGCTCACGTCTCCCGGACCTCCAGTCTCCCGCAAGCAGTCAGCGCCCGCCTCTCTCCCACCCCACTTTACCACTGCTACTCCCTTCCCTCCCCAGCTCTAGGCACTGTCCTTAGAACCACAAAAAGCAAGGAGGGTCCCTGGGCGAAGCAAGGTGGAGGCCGCGGCTCGCGACCCGGGCGCGAGGCCCGGGAGCGCAGGCTCCGCCCCCACCCCGGCGCCGGCTGGCGGGAGGCGGGACATGCGCACGCGGTGGCTGGGCGCAGGGCGCCGGGAGGCGGGGGAGTGCGCGTGCAGTACCTCTGCGCCGGAGCCGGCGGGCGCTGCGGGGAGCTGGTTTGCCGTGGGCGGGGAGCCGGACGCGGGAGCGGGGAGCGCGCCGCCAGCGGGCGAGTGCGGGTGTGCGAGGCCGCGGCGACGGGCCCGCGAGCCTGGAGCGCCGCATCTAGGAGATGCGAGCGGCAGGGAGCCGCCGCGCTGCTGTGCCGGGTGAACTCGAGCGGCAGTGACCTCAGCGAGGGGAGAGCGGGAGGACGGCGGCTGCCAGCCCCGCGGGGACCCTGGGGGCCAGGGGTACGCGGGGCACGGCGGCGGCGCGGGAGCGCGGGGCGCAGACCGGGCGGGGCTGGGGGACAGTGATGAGAGGGCGCGCGGGGAGGCTGCACGCCGCCGCCGCCGCCCGGAGCATCTGCCGCCCGAGCTGCTGCTCGCGGCCCCGGACCCGGCCATGGAGACGCTGAACGGCCTCGCGGGCGGTGGCGCCCCGGACGCGAAGCCGCTCCCGCCCGGCCAGCACCATCGCCACCACCACCTCCACCCGCTGGCCGAAGGTAGGCGGCTGCACCGCGCGCCCTCGCCCGCCAGACCCTTCCTCAAGGACCTGCACGGTCGACCCCCGGCGTCCGGCCCGGCTCCGGCCGCCTCCTCCTCGGGCCGAGCCCCGGCGCCCGGCACCCCGCGCTCGCCCAACCTCGCGGGCAAAGCACAGCCCTCGCCGGGAACCCTGGCCGCGCCCGGCCGCCTCTCTCGGCGCAGCGGCGGCGCCCATGGCGCGAAGGACAAGCCGCCGCCGGGCGCCGGAGCCAGGGCAGCGGGCGGCGTCAAGGCCGCTCCGGGCCTCAGGAGGGCGGCGCGCACGGCGCCCGCGGAGCTGCTGCCTCGGGCGGGGAGGCCGCCGCCGCCGCCCGGGACCGAGCCGCTGTCCGCCGCTGCCAAGGGCCGCAAATCCAAACGCGGCTCCGGGGCGTCCCCCGCCCATGCCACCGGGCTCCCGGTCCCCGCCGCCCCGATCCCCGCCGTGATCCTCGCCGTGACCTCCTCGGCCGGCTCCCCTGCTCCCGGGTCGCGCATCAGCCACACGGACAGCAGCTCGGACCTCTCCGACTGCCCCTCCGAACCCCTGTCCGACGAGCAACGCCTGCTACCCGCTGCCAGCAGCGACGCCGAGTCTGGCACGGGCTCCAGCGACCGGGAACCGCTGCGAGGAGCCCCCACGACGAGCCCCACAGCTCGCGGGGCGCCGCCCAGCAGCCCCGAGCCCCCGGCGCTCCTCGCCGCGCCTCCCGCCGCCGGCTCCTGCCTCGGGGGTCGGAGCAGCCCAGGTGGGGTCCCCGCGGGGTCCCCGGGAACGGGTGTGGCAGAGGATGCCGGGGGGCGCGCGCCGCTCGAGCGAACGGTCCCCGGGATCCTCAAGGAGCCCGGTCCGGGCGAGCAGACCCGACTGGTACCGGCGGAGGAGGAGGAGCTGCTGCGGGAGATCGAGGAGCTGCGCTCGGAGAACGACTATCTCAAGGTGAGCAACCGGCTCCGCAGCAGGTGTCCCGGAGGCGACCCCAAATGGTCTGGGTGCGGGCGGGGACCCACGAGCCCAGCCTTTCCGGTCCTGACAAGCACGTTCTCTCTTCTGGCTTTCGCTTTCCCGCCCCTGCACACACTGGGCTTTGGGAGCTTAAGCTAAAACTTCTGGAAGAGCAGCAAGACCTGAGGGTCTGGGCGCGTTCTCACCCCACTTAGCTTTACTTGTTTCTTGAAGTCTTGCTTCTTCGTGCTGACGCCTTTGCCTCTGTAGCTGTGCTGGGGGAGAGGTGGCCAGAATCATTTTGGATACGCAGCTGACCGTCCCCCCGGCCAAAATGTGCCCACTCTCACCTGTGGGATCTGGCTACCCTTAGCCAAGGAGCTCTGGGCCCTGCCCAGTGCAGGTGTGTGTAGGTTGTGGAGCCTGCTGTGGGCCAGGCTGTGAATGTGCCAGATGCTTTTCCTGCATTTATACAAAGTGAGGCCCCCTCTTTCTCTCTGGGGGGCCTCCGTGTTTTCAGTGATAAACCTTAAGTTCAGGGGTCCCATGAGTGTGGCCCGGTTTGAGGCAGGGGGTTTGGTGGGCTTGGCCGGCCTGTCCTTTGTAGGTGTCCACAAGACGGTTTTCCTTGTCAGGAGAGGCCACTTGATTCCCCAGCACTTTCGAGGGAATTGCAACCTCTGCCGCCCTATCTCCAAGTATTTCTTGTGAGGTCCTGCTAGTAAAGGCCTCCTCTTGGTCTTCTTAGCTTTGGGTCCCTCAATCTGACTTCCATCTTTTCTCCCAGGAGGAGGGCAGTTGGCCCCGCAGAACAGAGGACTTAGTGTGCGGGGTGAGGGGGGGTCAAGAGAATTCAAGTGACTTGAGAGAAAATAAGGGGGAAGTGAGTTGGGGGCAGCTGTTTTATTATAGTTTTCAAGTTAGTAAATTACTACAGTGGTATGAATCTTTTCATGTTTCTTTTAAGATTCTAATATATATCTCCTTCCAAACCAGCGGGTGGCCTTTCTTTATCTAGGTTATGTCATTTGTACTTTCTTTTCAGCAAATGCTGAACCTACCCAAATGAGGCCCCGTTTTTGGCCAGGGGGACCAAGGGCCTGGGCTTATTTAAGTGATAAAGTGTGCAGTTCAAATTGACATCAGAATAGGTTTATGGCTGAGTATTCTAAACCTAAACCTCTTATCAGGAGCTGCTCTCCCCAACTGAGCCCAGTAGTTGTTTTGCCTGCAAAGAGGTAGCAGTGAGGCAGAGAAGGAGAGGTGAGAACAGATTGGGAGTTTGGAGTAAGATGTTTCAAGCAGTACATTTGCTTGTGTCACCCACTCTTATGTAATAGACAACAGAGTGATTTTCAAAGGTGCTGAAGAGAAAGACCAGTGATGTTGTATGTGACTCCATCTTGAAATCAGCACTTTTGTAGATCTTCAACAAATGTAAACTCCTTAAGGGCCAGAAAGATGATCTCGTTGGGTTATAGCGCCAGCTCTTAGCATGATCCCTGACCCACAGTGTTTCTGATTCAATGACGTTTATCCAAATCACGACCTGCTAAACAACAGGAAATTGAGCGTTCTGTAAAAGAAGTTTCCCATTGCGTCTTTGATCTTAAGGTAGGCAGCTCAACAGTCATTTCAGAGTTCATTCCTAAGTAACTGTTTATTTGCCTTATCCTTTCACATTGGTCCATTCTCAGTGAACGAACTACCTGTCTGACCCTGGAGTCTGATCTCGTGTATTTGGTATTTCAGTGAGTCTTCACAACAACATAGGGTATAATTGTGGTCATTTTTATCATAACCCCAGTTTCATAGACAAGGATGCTGAAAGCCCAGAAACCTTACATGACTCGCCCAAGGCCATACAGCAAGTAGGAGGTGCAGCTTCTCTTTTCCCAGCTCCAGACCTTTTGCTTTTTTCACCGCAGCAGGCTGCCTTTCTCAGTGTATGCCGCTTGCTTTAGTGTTGTTTATTTAGCTTGAAATGTTCTCAATGTTTAGCTTTCCTAGGGAGCCTCTTTTCATTTTAGGTGAAAGAGCCGTAATGAACACCTCTCCACTAGCCTATGTACAGATGGTCAAATAAATCCCACTGACAATGCTTAATTTGTGGGAAATGTAGGGTTGCTGGTTCCTGTGGAGAAAGTGTCATGGCCAACCATTCTCTCTGCCTGAGTGCATCTCCCACCCTGTCTTCTGACAGCAGGAGAGAGAAGTAGGTAGAGGAGCTCAGAAGGAAGCTAGGAAACCAAAAGTCTGCACACAGATGTATGTGTAAGTTATGTGTTTGGTTATTCAGGAGCTTAAGTTACAATTGTTCATTTCGGGAGAAAACACAGCAGTCCTGGTAGATTAAGGTCAGTGAGCATGCCCACTGGTGCAAAATGGGGCTGTGATCACGAGTGATCTCAACGGGCAGAGGCGGGCGGGCATGCCTTGGCACAGGGTGTATAGAGCGTGCACATTATAAATCAAAGCTTACCTTTTTAATGCTCTCGTTGCTCACTGGTACTTTTTTCTCATGGTCGGTAAAAGCTCATCCTTCACCAACTGCTTTCCTAGGGAATGTTGCACAGGGCTCTCATGATTAGACAGAGCATTCCTCTATTCAAATGTTACCTAACAAGAAGAGCCTTGACCCAGAAATTTTACTTTGGTATATTCTGGAGGATTGTGACCATGTTAAGCGTTCCCTTCTTTCCCAAGTCAGTTCTGTCACCATTACCGTGCAAGACTGTCACCCTTCCTGAGCTGGAATGACCAAAGGGTAATCAAGCAGCTACATAAGGCCTGCAAAGCCATAGGGGGATGTCTTACTGATTGAGAAATTCAAGTGGAATTCTCTTGGTTTTTAGCCGGTCTGCTGTATTTTCTAACAGATGTCGGTTGTGCTGCATGGGGCTGTCTGGGGCATCCCTGACTCTGCTTTCTCTTTCTAATTCTACCTTCATCAGAGGGCACCAAGGTAGCACAATTATTCAGTCCAGGCGGCTGGCTTTATATGTGAAAACACAGTCAGAAAAGCAGTCTTGCCCCATTACCCCTGATGAACTTAAATATATCTGGAAGTCTTCAGACATTCAGGTGAGAGGTTGAGTCCAGTTGTCCAGAGGCCTTTGCTTCTTTTTCAAACTGAACCCAGGCACGTTTCTCAGTGACGAGTGCATGGACAAAATGCTGTGGGTGTGTTCCCTGCCTGCCTGCCACCACTGGGTTTTGCTCGAGTGCTCTGAGACAATCAGACCAGCCTTAGTGCTCATCATGAACATATTGTGTCCTCTGTTTCCACTGGCTTTTCAGGAGGATTTAATCACTTTCAGTTTATTGGCCTATTTTGAAAATGCCGTTCAGATTCCTGGTGACGTGCTCACAATGTCCCCTCCACTTGTGTCCAGATAGTGTTCTCCAAAGCCCCATTGTCCTGCAGGATGGGCACAGGTTGGTGTGGGGGAAGGGCTGCTTTTTTTTTTTCTTTTTGCTCTGCTTTCTCAGTGATTCCATAAGAATTATTTTTGTTTCAAACAAAAGTCCTCCTGTCAGGAGAGGCCACTTGATTCCCCAGCACTTTCGAGGGAACTGCTACCTCTGCCGCCCTCTAGCTACTAGGGCAGCCAACATCCGATCATTTGAGAGAAGTGATTTCCTAAGGGAGATTATTGGTAGGGTCATTTGGGGTTTTATAGGTTGCAGTGTATCACCACTGATCCAGCCTTACCACCCAGTTTCTCACCTGCGTAGTCTTTTAAGTTTCAAACTCTGAAATGGTAAATTTGGCCCTGTGAGTTCCAGGTGCTTAGTGTGGCCTGGAGCGGGGACGCTGAGGCAAGAATAAACAGTTCTGAACAGCTCAAGTGTCGAGCTCTTCCTCTCCTCTGACTTTCTTTTGGAAGGGTTAAAGTGGACAGTGGTCCTGTTCTTTCCTGACATTCCACTTTCCACACCCATTCTTTATTCAGCCTGCGAAATATAATAATCTATAATAATCTTAGGTGGTGAGATAATATAGACCAGGGCAAACAGAGCCCATCAGCTGCTGGGTTAACTGTCACTTGGTAAACAATGGTTAGCAGCCCCCTGCCTTATCTACAGCTGGGACTGTGCAGAGAACATTTTCATTGTCCCGAGGGAAATGAGGTGGATTATTTGTATATTACAGCAGAGGATCTTTCTGTCTGCAACTTCCAGAAGATGGAATTATTGCAACAGTAGCCCAGATGACTGCTCCCCTGTCCAAATTGGGATCTATTTAAAGGAGGGTTATTAAAATATTAATGTAGAACCAGTTATTGGTTTCACGTTGCTTGAAGGAGATTAAGATTTGAATACAGCTATCAGTATGATCAAGAGTTTGCATCCCTTAAATTAAGATATGGTGGATTCCGTTTTTATTTTTTATTTTTCGGGTGAAACTTTTTGTGGAAGTTTATATTGAAATGCTTCATTTTAATCTTGGTTTACTCTAGTGCATACATGGTACCTCATTATTTCTGTAATTTGATGTATATAATAAGGCTTGATCTGTTATCTGCAGGCAAAGGGGAGTAGTTTGGGAGCTTCACACTCCTTCAAGATTTCATTTTATGCACAAAATTTGAAAAATAGATTAAATTAAAACTAAATTAGCTTTTCAATGAGGTAATGATCTAACAGTGAAGTATGCAACAGACCTGGTGTTAATTCTACATAAAACTGTTGATTAAGGGCAAGTTTTTTCCTTAGTTTCTGTGTATAAAAAAACAACAGCAATTTTCTACTTTTACTTACTATGTCTAAAATTATATTTGCCAGAAACATACGTTCTGCTTGATTTGGTTTTCTTAAACATTTAAAAAGCAGACATCTTTAAGGTTCTTTAATACAACGTATTCTAAATTAGAGCATGCTGCCAGAAAAATTAACATAGTGGTAGCCTGAAAATCACTATCCATCAAGACCCTAATCTGAATAATCACAGTTTTTGCTTTTCAAATGTCTGCTGCCAGCTTACATGGTTTATAATTTGCTTTTCTTGTAACTTCTTTTCACTGAGCCTGAAAACTGCTTTTTTTCAAGGCTCTATGAAAAGAGTTGAATCACTGACCTTGGTCCCAGACTAGTGTTGAAAAGCCATTTAAATGTTTAGAATCTTGATTTTCTCATTTTTAAAATGGGAATATTAATATCTTCGCTGCATATTGCAGTGTTTCTCTGAGGGCCAGTTGAGAAAATGGATATGCTCACACATTGACAGTTTAGTCAAGATCTAAAAATGTTAACTTGCATTATTATGTCATACCTATGGTGGAAGCATGATTTAAGGCTTATTATTGTTTCATTTGTCTTGGTTGTTGCAAATAATTCATAGTATTTACTGGAAAGAGCACGTGGATGTGCAGTCTAGCTTCTATTTATTAGCTAGGGAGGCTTTGGACATGCTAACCAGCATGGGTTTGCTCTCCTTGTCTATGAAATGGGTAATATGTTCCTGGCAGGGTGAGAATAGGGTTAGTAATGAAGGTAAAGTGCTAAATGAGATATCTTCTGTTCTACAAATTTAGATAAAATCTGAGTTATAAAGGCAATGATTCAAATACATGCAATTACAGTCTCTGCCTAATTTTCCTTTCAGTGCAACTAATGTTGGTGATTATTTATGCCAAAAAATGTTAGCTGTTTATATCTGGCCTACTGAATGATTTGGAGGTGCTGGTTCATCTAGCCCTTACACATGTTTTTCTTTTAGCTTGTGTAGTTATTTACGCATCTATAGAGCATATGCAGCATTTGATATTTGGGTCCATGAGGGTCCTCCTGGTACAAAATCTGAAAGCTAGAGAACAGTTTTATACCCAAAAGTTGTATCTTATGTTTTCTTATGGCTTTTTTGCACTTTGAAAACTTTTGTTTGAGTAACAGGTAATTCCAGGCATTAATGACTTTCTAGAAGGAAAAGCAATCACAGACAATTCCTTCCGTGAACAGAATGGCCACAGTTGCTATATATTTGTATGTATACATATACATGTCATGATTATTGCTTGTATCGAACTATGTGTTAGTTACACAATGAAACAATTATCTTTTAACTGTACTCCAACACAAGTAGAGAATAGGCTTTTTCTGAAAAACCCATCATATATATAGGTAGAACCCGAGAGAAACTTGACCTTGATTTTGAAGCTTCGGGATTAATTACCTAATCTTTACCAGAAGATTGACACCCACAAGGCCTGTGTTAAAGTTTGCAGTCTGCAGCTGGTCTCCCCCAGCATGGGGCGGGTCAGGGGCATGGCTCCCACACAGCATTACAGCCTCAGCGTAGGGATCTGGCATCAGTCTGCCAATTTACTCTTTGCTGATGTTGGCAAAGACCGTTCTGAAAGAGCTGCGTTCTCTCATTCCCTGTAGAGCCCCGCCTGTCCATCCTGTTCACATATGTTCAACTGACTGGCTTCCACGCTTGGTCTGTGAACTCCCAGTCGCAGCGAATTTTCCTACTAGGAACAAGATGTATAGGAAGAGCTCTCCATGAAGGAAAACAGGAAGGAAACAAAACTTGCTTATACTTCACAACACTTTTCAATGTTAAGATTTACCTTTTTCTTAAGACACACTAGAACATCTTATATTTTTAATGAGGTTGTGACCGCTGCTATAGAAATTTTGTAAGAACATTCAGAAGCTGAGAAAAAACCACTTTATATCAATTTACTACTGGGGCGTGGTAAAGCTTTTCTTCTTTAACATTCATTCCTCTTGGCAGTCCATTCAGACAGGCTCCATTTGGAGTCATGATCAGTTGAGTAGGCCATTCTCTTCGTTAGGGTAGTGTGGACAGATTGGGGAGAAGCTACAGGCTGCGGTTTGGGGGAATGAGATGCTACATCTGTGCTCTTTCCAGTGGACCACTGCATATGGTTGAGGTTGGCTGGGCAACTGTCTTTACCCTGTCTGTGCCAATTTGTACTTTTCCATAAAGAGTACAAAATCTGAAGGTGGAAGATTTATTTGTTACACTTAAACTTTTCCAGGTTAAATTACTCTTCAGGAGATTGCCTTCTGGTCAATTTCTTATCTACCTGAGGCTTTGATGTTGAGAAGCTGTCCTTGTTTATTATAAGTAAATCCCTGCTTTTAAGAACAAATGCAGGATTAGTGAGAGTGGAGAGAATCAGGAACAAACTGAGTAGCAGGAGGAGAGCTGACAACTTAGGGTGTCCACATCGTGGAGAGTTTTTTCCTTGACCCTCACTGTTAATTGAACAAAACAAAAAGGAATGACTGAATGTATCCTAGTCTGGAGACATTTAAACCATCAGTGATTAAACTAATCAAGAAAATGACTAGAATGCTTTTCTTAATCTTCCACCTTCCAAATTACTCCTTGTTAAAATCTTTTGTAATATTTCAATAGAATTTCTGTCTTGCATATTGCAGCTACATCTGTGGGTTTGGGAAGAATTCTTTGTAATTAGGTTACAAGACTGGAACAAAACAAAGGTGCATTTGTGTTTGATTTTGGTCGTCCTTACAATTTGGTCTTTGTTGGGATTGACCAATGTTCCTGTGTGTTCATCCCACCAATACTTATTGAGGGCCTGCTGGGCGCTGTGAATGCAGGGAAGCTGCTACTCACATTTCAGTATGGGCGACAGACAAGAATAGGAAGAAGCACAATTAACTAGTAGCTGGTGATAAGAGGTGGGAAGAAAACAGAGCAGGGCAGGAAGAATTAGAGACGGTGTGGTTGGGAGGATGGGTGGTCAGGAAAGGTGCTGTGTGTGTGCCTTCCAGATGATGTGACAATGAGTTCTGTAAAAGTTGGAGAGGAACATTTTAAGGAGAGGGTAGAACAGGTGGAAGGGCCTTCAGCAATCCAGATCCCGTGAGACCAGCAGTGTGGCAAGGAAGAAGGGGGCAGCTCATAGGCCCTGGGGAAGACTTTGAAGAATTTTCTCAGGGCCCTGGAAGGTCTGAGGGGCGTGGTCTGAGTTCCATAGTAAAGGATAACTCTGGGTGGAGAACTGGCTGAAAGGGAAGCAGGGAGCCCCGCACAACTTGCGTGTATGTGCACCTGCTCCCTCAGGACAGATGAAGGCAGGGACTAGCTGTAGTGTGCAGCCACTGGGTAGAGAGTGCCCCGCATGTATGTTGCTCTTGGGCTGACAGCACTGGTTTGGATGTGGAATGGGAGAGGAGAAGGGGGAGCAAGGACAACTCCTGGGTTTTTCCTGTACCCACAGTGTCTTCATGCTGACGCCAGAGTAAAGTGGAGATGGGAAATGAAGGCCAAGTGAATGGAAAAAAACCAAACCCAATGTGGATTTGACATAATGCAAAAGTTATATCTTTGGAATCGTGAGTCACATAGTCAGTGCTGAGACTTGTATGGTGGAACCGAGTTTTAGGGACATTTGCAGGTGTGTCACAATTCCAGGGTGGTTCAGTTATGATCCCATTAAAGTTAATGTCCTTTGAAGGCAGGGCGACTCCTGTGCAACTCCTCTTAGTCCCGAGACAGTGCCCTGGAGATAAGATTTAGGTCAGTGTTTGGTTTAAATCTAAAGGTTCAGTTATCTGCAGAGCTGATTTTATTTGTGATTCTGATTATGTAAGAAAATATTGGGAATAGAATAAATGCTGGCAGGCTATAGTGAATAATCCCTCCTGGTTTTGAGTTTCTGGATCCATGAGATTTGAGCAGACATCTGAGGATATTGTCTCGTGTGACCCTTTCCAGAGGTCCCTGTGTCCTGTGACACAGGTGTGCCCATCAGCCACGGGATAAGTGCACAGGTAGTTAACGTCCAGTATTGCAGAGCTGGGGTGGACCTATCCTTGTTCCGGTTGGTCTGGCTTATAAGTCTGCTCCATCTGGCTTGTGTAGGATGAACTGGATGAACTCCGTGCTGAAATGGAGGAGATGAGAGACAGTTACTTAGAGGAAGACGTTTACCAGCTGCAGGAGCTTCGGCGAGAGCTGGACCGCGCTCATAAAAACTGCCGAATCCTGCAGTACCGCCTCAGGAAAGCCGAGCAGAAGAGCCTGAAAGTGGCTGAGACTGGTCAGGTAGATGGCGAGCTCATCCGGAGTCTGGAGCAGGACTTAAAGGTGAGTGAGCAGGGCTGATGGAGTTCTCATTCCCAGAGGGGCTGCAGGGTGGGGGGGGCAGGATCGCAGGGCTGAGGCCGGCAGCCCTTCGGACCCACTTATCAACGGTCCTGCCATTCTACTAGTAGTTCTCTCTTTCTCAACAGATTTCAGCATACACGTTCTTCATTCACCTTATGGTGTATAGGTTATGTGTAGTCATATGGCTTTGACAGCCCAAGATTTAAACCTGTCGTATGAACTGGAATCTTAAAACCTAAGGAAAAGAAAAGAAATCGTAGTAAGGAATCTACAATTTAAAAAAGAGAGAGAATTGGGGCATCTGGGTGGCTCACTCGGGTAAGCGTCTGTCTTCGGCTCAGGTCATGATCTCAGGGTCCTGGGATCAAGTCCTGCATCGGGCTCCTTGCTCAGTGGGGAGCCTGCTTCTCCCTCTGCCTCTGTGCCTGCCCCTGCTCGTGCTCTCTCTCTCTTGCTCTCTATCTCAAATAAATAAAATCTTTAAAAAAATAAAAAAATAATAAATAAATTTAAAAAAATATCTGCCACTTGTTCTGACAGTTGTGTAGAATTGTACAGAAACGTCTTCTAAAGACCTGGAATATTTTAAAAAATCTATTGATTATCAATTCAATGATAGTCAAAGATCACTCATAAAGGTTGACTATAATCACTTAATGTTTTTATTGTTACTTAAGTTTCTAGAATGCAGAACACCTGAAATGACCATAACCCAAGGATGGTGTTTTGATTTAACTGAAGGAGAAATAGGATCATAACTAACTGTCTAAAGCTAATTGTCTAAGGTGTTTTTGAAAACCATTGGCAGAGGTGGGAATGAGGTGAAGAAATTCCAGACATTATACCATTTGATCTCTCCATGGGTAGCATGGCTTCTCTTCATACCCTGATTATCAAATCATTTATCAAGAGATGAATTATGCATAAAGTCCTCCTTATTATGGGAGTACTTATGAAATCTCATTTCGCCTTTCATTATGATAATAGGAAAAGAATCTTTGTAATTCTATCAAATTTATAAACCACTAACAAAATGTCATTCAGTGGGATGTAAGGGTGATTTATATTTCTCTTGCAAAATCTCTTTCCTTTTTCCCTTTAGAAGGTAAAAATGTTTAACTGCTTTTAGCATTCAGATATTTTACCACAGTAGACAATTTAAAACTTGACTACCTTCCTTATTTTACAGGATTATTTTGGTTTTTTTTGTGTTTTTTTTGCAGGTAGTTTTAGTATTGCCTTAGGGAACAGAAATGTTTGATTATTAGTTATTGTTATTTCTAATTTACCATTAAAGCATGTGTGTGAGCAGAATTGGCATTCTTGGTGATACTCTATAATGAGGTAGAGCTATCCACAGTAGCCTTTTAATCCAGATAAAGGTCATATCCTCGCTCATAATGTGGATTTCATGTTTGAAACTGATACCTCCTCCTTTAAAGATAGGCTTGTTAATATTGCCAGGGTCTTTGCCCTTTACTGTGATATCCTATCACTTAATGATTCTGCCTCTGAAGTTGTTTGTGCCCTTAGCACACAGAAAGCTTTACGTCCTGATGACTATCTCTGTTGGTTGATATAGGTAGCCAAAGATGTATCTGTCAGATTGCATCATGAACTTGAAACCGTGGAGGAAAAGCGTGCTAAAGCTGAGGATGAAAACGAAAGTCTCCGCCAGCAGATGATTGAAGTGGAAGTATCCAAACAAGCCCTCCAGAATGAGCTGGAGAGACTGAGAGAGGTAATCCCAAGATATATGCGGATTTCTTTCTTGGGTTTAATTGTTAGGACCTTGGGACTCCAGGCATCCCATTTGGTGAACTATGATTTATTTGTAGGGCCCAGAAAGTAAGAATGGTTTTTACATTTTTCGTAGCATTATAAAACAACAACAACCACACAAAAATAAACCTAAAAAAGCAAAGAAGATTATGTGACAACAACTATATGTTGCTTGCAAAGCCTAAAATATTTGCTGTCTGACCCTCTACAGAAAAGGCTTGGTGAACCGTGACCTAAAACTACTTTTTTATCATTTCCATTCAGATGAGCTGGCCATTAATTCCTTTTATGGGTCCAAGTGGAGAATATTATTACTAGAATACAAAATTAAGCAGTAGCTTTTTCCTTGAGTTTCCTCTTCCTATGAGCTGGAAAATGTGTTATGGTTGTCTATTAAAGCTTGTAAACAAATAATAAGCCACCTATATCTATTATTCAGGCACTATGGTTTAAATATAGGGCTTTTCTTTTTATTTGAGGGAGTGAATGTATTCTAGCAAAGCGTCTAGAAAATGAATATATATATATATAAATATAAATATATATATTTCCCTTTGCATACAGTAATGCAAAAGCTGTTTTGTTATTGACTTCCATTATAAGATTAAAGCTGTATATTTTCTTGGAAAATATCCTGCATATTGATGGAGGTAAAAGCTATTGGTTAGGCCTTTATGGTGATGGCTAAAGCCAGCATTATTACCTGCTAACGGCCTCACTTAGTGCATTTTCCCTTTGGCCAAGTTTCCCGATTCACTTAGTTACTCCTCATCCATCCAGCCATGCGCCTGCCCACACTTAATTCAGGCTCCGTACCATGCCCTGGGGATACAGATGTGAACATGGCAGCACAGGCTCTGCTCCCAAGATGTTTACAACTCAATTTGACACATGGCTGGCAAAACAAAAAAATCACAGCAAAGGAGCTGGTGTGGCTACCTCTCTGCTTCCACCCCTGCCCCCTCACAGCCACTCAGGTGCCATGATGTTCTTGAGGTTGGGGGGCTCCGACATTCTTTTTCCAGAGATCCACAGCCCTAGGGCTCAGTCCCTCGCCTTCAGGTCCCTGCTGATATCTCACCTCAGCCTCCTGGCTCCCCCACACTTACACATTCAAGTTGTCCCTGCCTCCACCCTGGCCATCCCTATCTACCTTCCCATCTGACATGCTTTGGATTTTGGTGAATTACTTGTGTATTGTCAGCACTTGTCTGAAATTGCCACGGGTTTTATTTCTTTGTCGTCTTCACTAATGTGCCTCTAGGACCTGAGCTCTGTGGGAAGAGGGTGTGTCTGTGTAGTTCACTATGGGGTCTCTATGCCTAGAACAGTGCCTGGCACTTAGGCGTCGTCAGGGACGTGCAGGGTGAGGGAGTGAATGAAGGGCGAGAATGTGGAGCTGTGGTGACCACAGCTTGCCTGAGGACTTGGTGAGCTTCACAGCACGTTCTTTCATCATGGGTAACCCTTGCTCCTTAACTTACATGTGTACTTACCCTGGGGACTGGGGGGATTTCTCCTCGCCTTGTGGGTCTCTTACCTCTGCATTTGGGGTTGCTAGTTCTTTACTTCCTTCTTTCTCCTTTGATCTAAGTTTGCTAGAAGGTTTGCCATATGGTTTCTTTTCTCAGAATTTCCAGTTTGAGCCTGACCTTGAGGGTACAGAAAACATCTTAGGAGTATATTTTATAAATGTTATATGTGTATATGCCTACATATAAATATTTAAATTATATATACACATAAGTAAGTAAATAAATATATTCAAAGCAAACAAAGTTTGTCTTGCCCCCGTGGAACTGAATTTGTGTAGGACTTGGCATCAGGTCACAAATAGCTCCTCAGGGAGGGAAATGATTACTGACATTCAGTGCCAGGCAGAGGTGAGGCAAGGATCTTCAGAGAACTGTGATGTTGGCTGAGGTTGGATGTACACAGAGGCGGTGGCAGGGTCAGCCTCTCCCTGCCTTTATGGGTTAGAATCACTCACAGGGATTACTCAGCTGGGCTGCAATCAGTATTTTACCTGGAGAGTTGCAGTAAGACTAGGGCGGCTACATATTTGCGCCAAACTTCATGATTCTAAATGAATCATAAAACTGACAGGAGTCTGCAGAAGGTAGATACTCTGGACTGTGCTGGAAGCAGAGAACGATGCAACCAGGTGATCCAAGGTTCAAAGGTGGTAGAGGAGATACTTATTGGTAAGTGCCGGCTGTGGGCTCCGTGAATGGATTCTTTTTACTGAAGCCAGAACGGAACGTGCTGTGAGCTTTGCTCTAGGGTGAGGATGATATTTGCTCTATCTTGAATCCAGCTCGTTATTGTTCACCTCTGAAGTTTTGTAATCGGATGAGTCACATTCCGGAAAAGGCAAGGAGAGTTCGTGTGTCTCTGAATGACAGAAGTAGTTGCAGACGACTGTGGCCCCCTGAGCCTTGGAGGACAGTAAAACAGTGCATCTCCGTGCCTCTTCAGCCCTGTGGCTGTTGCAGGGGCTTCTCTCCAGAGCTGCAGACTATGCAGCTGCCTGGTGGACTTCTCCAAGATGGATTTCCCATAGCACTTCGAACTCAGAGAGTCCAGAAACAGACTTGTCACCGTTGGCCCCACCTGAATCTTCTCTGTCTTTCCTATTTGTTTTCACAATGCTACGGTCCTGCTAGTCCCTCAGGCTCGAGCAATGGTGGTTAACCTGACCTCTCTTACTGCTGTTCATACTGAGATTGCCTTCAGATTCTGGTCTTCTGCTTTTGCAGTCTTAGGAATTTTCTTTTTTTCTTTTTTTAAAGATTATTTATTTATTTATTTGAAAGAGAGAGCAGAGCAAGAGAGAGAACACAAGTCAGGGGGAGGGTCACAGGGAGAAACAGGTTCCCCACCGAGTATGGAGCCCCATGCCAGGCTGGATCCCAAGACCCTGAAATCATGACCTAAGCCAAAGGCAGACGCTTAACCAACTGAGCCTCCTAGGCACCCCTGAAAACATGATTTTTTTAAACATTTTTAAATTTAAATTCAATTAACTAACATATAATATATTATTGGTTTCAGAGGTACAGGTCTGTGACTTATCAGTCTTATATAATACCCAGTGCTCATTCCATCACGTGCCCTCCTTAATGCCCATCACCCAGTTACTCCATCCCTCCATCCTCCTCCCTTCCAGCAACCCTCAGTTTGTTTCCTATGATTAAGAGTCTCTGATGGTTTGTCTCCCTCTCTGATTTCATCTTGTTTTATTTTTTCCTCCCTTCCCCTATGATCCTCTGCTTTGTTTCTTGATTTCCACACATATCAGTGAGCTCATATGATAATCGTCTTTCTCTGATTGACTTATTTCACTTAGCATCATATGCTTTAGTTCCATTCACATTGATGCAAATGGCAAGATTTCATTTTTCTCTCTCACTGATATATGCTGTACCATGGATGGACCACGAAAATAGACCAAGGAAAAGAAGCTGGACATATAGCACAATTCCATTTATCGAAGTAATTCGGAATAGGTAAATCCACAGACAGAAAACAGATCAGTGGTTTCCAGGGGCTGGGGAGAAGAGAGAGGACTGCTTAATGAGTATGGGGTCTGCTTCTGGGGTGACGAAAATGTGTTAAACCAGATAGAGGTGATGGCTGCACAACCCTGTGAATGTACTAAATGCCTCTGTGTTGCACACTTTAAGATGGTTGGTTTTCACCTCAAATAAACATTTTTAGATTCTCTCTTCTACCCGTACTTTGACCAGTCTTCTCTCAAGTGAATATTTGAGAGCTGACTCTATGCCGTCAACCCATTAAAGACAGATGCTACTTCTGGTCCTTCCCTTCTCTGTTTTATCTTCGACACTCCCCCAACGCTGACAATGGGACTCTCTGCTTAAACACATGAACTTGCCCTGGCTCCCAATTGTCTAACTCTCTAGCGTGACATAGAGGACCCTTCCTGCCGGGGACCATCCCTGTCTCCCAGCTGGGTTTCCCACCCCACCGCTGCAGACCCTGGAGTGAAATAAAAGGCAGCAGAGCAAGATGAGAAGAATCTGTGCCCTCTGGTCCCCTTTGAACCGAGTGGGTCTTAGAAAAGTCACTGTCTCCATTGACCGATAAGACGATTCAAGAGGGTTGGCAATATGAAACTATCTGGAATTGTCCCTTCTGGCTAGCTAGCTTGCCTGCCTGCTTCCTTGTGCCTATTTGCCTATGGTCCTTGCACCCAACACCCATACACCCTGCCACTCATGCAAGTTCAAAATGTTTTTGCCTTCTGAGGGATATATTTCTTCTAGTACTCAACTCTGTGATGAAATATCTCGTCAGGTTGAAAATGGTTAATCTTAGCTTAGTTTCAGCTTCTTAAAGATTGCTTCCACTGAGGAGTTTTTCATTCTACCCAAATTTTTGAGTACTTATACATGTTAGACACTATAATAACTGGCCAAGTTAGTTGGCACTTGCAAGGGACAGAGACATGTTCTAGATCATTCCAGGGAACTGGGCTTTTTTTTTTTTCTTTTTTTCTTATTGAGGTATAATTGACATATAACATTATATTAGTTTCAGGTGTAATGGTTCAATATTTGTATATATTGCAAAATGATCACTACAATAACTGGTTAACATTCCTCGTTAAACACATGGGTCCAAAAATTTTTTTTCTTGTGATGAGAACTTCTGAGATCTACTCTCTTACCAACTTTCAAATATGCAGTACAGTATTGTTAACTATGGTCATTATGCTGTACATTATATCCCATGACTTATTTATTTTATTATAACTGGAAGTTTGTATCTTTTGATTGCCCTTACCCCTTTTACCCATCCACCCTAATAGGGAATGTTGAATGAAGCCACAGGGAACCAATTAGCAGCCAGATAGCTCTTGTGGGCCATCTTTCAGCACCATTCAGGATGTGATATTGATTCTCTGGGTTTGGTTGAGACTTCGTGGCTAGTAAA